CCCCGCCGAGCAGGGAGCCCGATGCGGGACTCGATCCCGGGACTCCATCCCGGGGCTCCAGGATCACGACCTGAGCCGAAGGCAGTCGCTTCACCGACTGAGCCACCCAGGCGCCCTGAGTTCACACATCTTAAAACTTAAGGGACCAGGCGGAATTTGAGCCCAGCCCCGTGCGCTGCACACCACGTGTCCTGCCCACTGTGGGCATTAGCTGCCAGGTCGGGGGCTCAGCAGACGCGAAGCTCGGTGTCCCCAGCCTCCTCCTGCCGCTTCCCTAAGCCCCGGGCGGTGTAAGCCGAGCGCCGCAGGTTGCCACCACCACCCTGCCCTCCGGTCTATGGCGCCCTGTCCCTCTTCGTCTCCTCTCTAGCACTGGAAAGCCTACCCCGTCCTTCAGACCCCTGCCTAACACTACCTCTGCTGGGAGCGCTCCTGACCCACCAGCTGCATGGGCCTCACACTTTTCCCAGTGCCCGTCCTGGGCGCCTGTCCTCTTACAGCCCTCCCGCCAGCAGAGCATGAGCACTCCGAGGGAGGGCTCCGTAGGCAAGTGATGTTTGATTCTCCCTGCAGGTACTCGGTAGTCCGGTAGATGCCTGCAAGTTTCATTTCCCTCTTCCCTTCCTTTCGTGGACTTAGTATGTCTTTCATTTGCAAACTGGGAGCTTCGGGGTCCCAGGGTTAGGAAAAGATGACCCTCAAAGTGGCAGATGATTTTAACATAAGAGGAGACAGGCAGAGAATGGTTAAGTCACTTCCTCAAGGTCACCAGCTGGTCCTTGGCAGAGCCAGGGAAAGAACCCAAGGCAGCGGGGCTCGAGTCTCAGCTCTGACCCATAGTCCAAGCTCTACTGTCCCCCTCCGAGTGGCTTCCTGCAGCACACGGGGTGTCTGTCTCTCTGGCACGTTCTGCTTCTCCTGTGATTTATGCTCTGCGTTTTAAAATCTCCCTGTTCCTTGCCCCCCACTCTGTGCCCGGGGCAAGGAGGACTCTCAGCACGGTGTCTTGAATCGGACACAGTCTGCTGAGGGCATTCTGGGTGGCTGGGGTCCCCGCCTCTGTTTGAGACTTTGGCAGCGTGGTCTGGGATGCACTCCGCACCTACCGTCGGGTCAGGCCTCAGGGGGCTGCCAGATGCTGGTCTGCAGGGAGATAGGACTCAGTCCCTCTCCACCAGCCTCCCACCATCAACCACGCGCGGGGGTCATGTCATGCCCTCCCCCCCAGGAGAGGGGGTCCGGGCCCTGCCCCTGCCCCTGAGGTGTGTGCTGCTGCAGTCCTGTCAGCTCACCCCTCCCCACCCTGCCTCCCTCCCTCCTGCAGGGCACCTCGAGACCTGCACAGTCCCTCAGCACAGCTCAGCTCGCGCAGCCCTCGGGAGGCCTCCAGGCTTCCGTCATTTCCAACGTCGTGCTGATGAAGGGCCAGGCCAAGGTAAGCAAGGGCCATTGCCAGCCAGCCCCCGAGGAGCTGTCCTGTCCAGGAAAGGAAGGAGCGAGGCCTGGTGATGCCGGCTGCTGTGTGAGCATCGCCAAGTCCCCGGGGAGGCTTGGGGAGGGCCCCCAGTCCTGCCTGACCCGTCCAGGTCACCGCGGGGCAACTGTCAGCCGACTTGTTCTCGGCATGGTATTTCCTAGAAGTGAGTTTCACTGGGTGATTAAATTCAAATCCTTTAAGTCCGTTCAAGCTGCTATCACAAAAACACGGACGAGATGCCTTAGCTAGCACCTCTCACCGTCGTGGAGCCTGGAAGTCCATGGTTAGGGTGGTGGCAGATTTGGTGTCTGTTGAGGACAACTTTCCTGGTGGGTGGACGGGGCCTTCTGTCCGTGTGGGCACCGGGTGCGTGGCGAGGGGCGAGGGGGCGCTCTGGGGTCTCCTCCATAAGGACACCCATCTGCTCGCGAGGGCTCCAAACTGTGACCTGCTCCCCTCCCAAAGGCTCCAGCTCGCACACGAGGTTTGGGGAGGACACAGACGTTCAGTCCACGTGTCTCCACCCACTTTGTATATCCACACTGATTTCTGCCGCACGACTGAGAAACCCCGAAAGGAGGGACGAGGCAGAGGTGGTGGAGGAACAGCCCAAATGTCTCTCTGTGTTCCCTCCAGAACATTCTGGAATAGACACGGGCAGTTGCTGCAAAGTTCACAGATGAGCCCAAGTAACCCTGATGCTTAAATAATGGAAGAGTGGGTTTTTGGTTTTGGGTTTTAAATCCCCCTACTATAACTTGGGCGCGTAGTGTGAGGGGAAGATGCTCCCTGCTGGTTGCTTCCTTTCTGGTCAGGGGAGGCCCCCCCCGCCCCACACGCCTGGGTCCTCTCTCGCCTCCTCCCCTCCCCTCCCCTCCCTTCCCGGGAGCTCAGCAGAGACATGAATGAGGAGACCCTGTTGCTCCTCTCATCACAAGACAAACCCTCTCCATGCTGATTTTGCTCCTAACAGCCTGGCTTTCTGACTAGTAAATTACGATGCTGGGATTTAGGTAAAGGTATTTAAAAAATAGTTGGCTTTTAAATCGCTTGCAATGCTCAGAAGAAAGCAAAGGGCGCCAAAGCTCATGCAAAGAGGACTGGAAATGGTTTAATTGAGCTCCGTGTCTGCACGTTCACTAAATCACATGTAGGCACGGGGCTGACCGAGCCGGCCTGCAGGGGCCGGGGGACGGAGCCAGGTGCAGGGTGTTGGATGCCCGGCAGGGTGGTGCGTTCAGACGCAAGCAGGCCTCCCACTGTCCGCCTCACACAACCTGTGCCCCGAAGGAAGGCCCCATGGTCGAGGATGGCAAGTAGGAGCGGGGCGAGGGCTGAGTTCGGGAGGAGGAAGCAGAGCTAGAAGGCTCCATACGTGCTTGAGCTAGAGTCACAGGCAAATTTTTGGGCAACAAGGCAGCTCTGGAAACCCAGGCACTGTGCTAAGGGCTTGGCAAGGATGCCTCTTCCAGCCGTGGTGACGGCCCCGGGGTCACCTCCCTTTTCCCGCCCAGGACACTGAGGGTCTGGGAGGACGCAGGACTTGCTCAGGGTCACTCCGTTAGTTAGCAGCCAAACTTAGACAACGACCCAAGACTTCCCGACTCCCGGGCCTCGTTCTAACCGTGACGCTGTGCCGTCTCACTGGGGTGGGCAGACTTGGAGTCTGCAGGAGTTACCTCAGCCCAGTGAAGCTGGGGTCCACGGAGGAGCCCGGAAGCCACGCCTCCCTCTCCTTCTTCCTAGCCCTGTGCCACCCTCTGATACCATTTGTCTCTCCTACCCTGGGACACGCACCCTCACCAGAAGCCTAGAACAGTGCCACGTCCGCGGGGCTTCCCTGCCTGGTTCCCTACGGCATCTGCGGGTGGGTGCCGGGCCGGCCATGGCTCTGGCACGGGGGTGATGCCCCTGAGCAGCGATGCTCTTACAGTGGTGGCCATGCCCGCGGGGTCCGTCCAGAAGCCAAGCTCTGAGCCCCTGCCCGGCACGCCTGCAAGCTGCCACCTGGCATGTGTCCTGGCTCCATGACGCACGTCACCTGAGCACCTGCCAGAGGCCGGGCACTGGCACACCGGATTTGTTCACTGCCTTCAGGGAGCTGAGAGTCTAGAAGGAAGCCCATTGAGACCCCAGCTAAGCCTTCCTGGGAAGCAGGGAGCTCCTCGGTCACCGACAAACCAAGCCAGCCTGTGTGAATTTCCTCTTCCGGTGCAGATGTTGCTCACACCTTTCGCTTGCTCATCTGCCTCTGGCTTTGTCTCTGCTGCCATTGGGACTGTCTCCTGGGCCCCCTGAGCTCCAACCAGACCCCGGGCTGGTGCTGTGAGCTCCTGGGGCGTTTGTCAGCTCATGACCCAGTAGAGGGGGCTCAGGGTCGCAGCGATGTCTTTAAAAAGGGGAGGGTGGGATGCAAAACAGAAGGGAAATGAACGGCCCTTGGCAGGAGAAGGGGTGCTTCCTCCAGTGCAAGCTGCCATAATTATTCCCGCAGGCTTGGGATCTCCTTGAATTTTCAAACACGACCCTGTGAGTTAGATCGTGAGCATCATTTTACAAGGGGCTAACCCGGGGCTCGGAGACAGAATTGCCAGCGAGAGGGGCTGAGCCAGGGCTCAGCGCCGTCCGGGGTTCTCGGGCTACATCCCTGGTTCTGTGTCAGGACATCAGACGCGCGGGAGAGCTCTCGACCCCATGCAGCCCAGGCTGGCCTTGAAGTCCTGGTTTTCCCCATTCTTCTGTGAAGTCCAGAGGTGTGTGAGACCAAGGGCATCTGTCTCCTCCCCGGGGCCTTGGCTCAGGGCTGGGGCAGGCCCTTGGCAAATGTCAGCCCAGGGAATAGCGTGGACCACTCCTAATGCTGCCTCTCTCTTCTCTCCCCCCAGGGCCTGGGCTTCAGCATCGTTGGGGGAAAGGACAGCATTTATGGCCCCATCGGAATTTACGTCAAAACTATCTTTGCGGGGGGAGCAGCGGCAGCCGACGGAAGGCTGCAGGAAGGTAGATCTCCCGTGTCTCACTGGCTGAGGTTTGAGGATTCAGACAGAATCACTAGGCCACAGAAGAGAGTGGACAGCAAAATGCATCTCCTATCCCCTCCAGCACCGTGGTGACAGGCACTTTGCTGGGGGTGTTTGCACTCAGTCCAGGTCCTGTAGCTGGCCCGGGATGGAGGCCTGAGCTGTCTGCGTCCCTTCCCTTCTTTTCCAAGGGCCCCTCCCTGTTGCTGATGCCCCTGCCACCCCATCCCTTCCCTCCGCCCTCCCTGACCCGCAACCACAGGGAAACCAGGCCTTGTGCTTCTACTGCGTCTGAGCAACATTCTCTGTGAGGCCACTGTGCTCTCGGCTCTAGGAATAGAGAGAATGATCAGATGTGATCTCTCTTTTGAAGAGCTCACAGTCCACCAGCTCCTGGGGCCAGGAGAAACCCCTGCATCCTGATGGTTAAGGGGCCTGGGGAGCAGAGCTGCCTCCTGAGAGCCCTTCCCGTCTTCCTATCCTGGAGGGCTGGGGTTTTCTCCCCACCCCGATGGCCCCCCAAAGTCACTTTTGGAGTGTTGGACAACAGGCTTGGCCCGAGGACATTCCCAAATTTCAACCAGGGGGAGAAATTCAGGGGCAGGCAGCCCCCGAGCCGAGGGCAGCCCCTGCAGGCTAGACGCTGGATTCCACACGGGATGCTTGAGAGAGGCGATTTCACAGTGTCCCCACCCTTCTCCGCCAGGCCAGTTTCTGTACGCTGTGCTGGGAGCCTGAGCCCCCTTAAGAACCTAACTTGTTTAGGGCAGGGTTGGTAAACTCCAGCCAAATTCGGCCCACCAACTATCATCGTGCTGCTCACAAATAAAGAATGGCTTTCATGCTTCTAAATGGCTGGAAAAAAGTCAAAGGAATTTATGATTCTTTTGTGGCAAGTGAAAACTGCATAAAATTCAAATTTCAGGACCCGCAGAAAAGCTTTAGGGGGATGCAGCCAGGTGCACGGCTCACTCACTTACCCGTGGTCGGAAGCTGCTTTTGCGCTTGCGACGGCTGTCTTGTGTAGTGTGACAGAGGGCCCGTGACCAGCAGAGCTTACCGTATTTACTCTCTGGCCCTTCATAGGACAAGTTTGCTGACACTTGTGTTATGCAAGATAAGGCATACGGATTTTACCGAGGGGGCACTGGGAGTCTTTGAAGGTTTTTGTAATTTGGGAGGGACCAGCTATGCCCAGGTTCTTAGGTGATTCGGGAAGCAGGGTGTCGGTTGAAGTGGGCTGGCAGGAGACCAGAGGCAGGCAAGCCTGCAGAGAGGCTGTTGAAAGAGCCAGGCTCCAGCTCTCCAGGGTCTGAGCTGTCTCTCTAGGAGGAGGAAGGTGCAGAGGAGACTCCCTGGAGGCGGGCGTGAAGGGAGGCCAGAGAAAATGCTCCTGGCCTTAGGAAATTTACCCGCAGTAGGACCAGGTGACAGAGGAGGAGGACAAGGAAGGCCAAGGAGGATGCTTTGGTTTCAGCCACGGCGTGCAGGGCAAGGCATGCAGGCGGCCACTAGGTGGAGCTGTGCTGCAGGCGGAGGAAGCGACGCCTGCCCAGGGAGGGAGCTGGGCTGAGTGTAGATTTGGGGGTCTGGACACCTGGAAAATACCTGAGTTATAGAGCAGGTGAAGGAAGGAGGGAAGAAGGGAGGGAGAGGAGGGCAGAGGCACGGTTCTAGGGGAATCGCTAAATCAAGAGGCAAGTAAAGAAGAGGGATCAATGAGACAAAGGGCGAAAAGTGAAATCAGAATCTTGAGAATGTGCCAGTGTTTGATGATCTTTTGTACTTTTCTGTGTTTAAATAAAAGGCGGGGGAGGAGTTGAGATGGCAAGAAAAAGGGTACTGTGCTCTGTATTCTTTACAGAATGCAAGCCTGCTTGAGTCAAGCTTCTTTATCCCCCTTGAGTATTTGTTTCTCTTCGTTAATAGCGATCGTAAAAATTCAGCGGGAAAGACATTCAGCTAGTCTACCTATAGTCCCTGATTCTAGCCTCAAATGATTGACCAGATCGCCTGTTGTATCTCTTTCAAAGTCAAGTTTTAGAATCTGCCCTTGAGTTCATGAGGTACATCCGGTTGCAACAAAATTTTGGTGCACAGATCAAGGCTGACAATGTTTTAGTTGCATAAACCTTCCCCAAAAAATGATTGTGTAAGATTTATTTGGCAAAACCGAGGTTAATCACTTTCCACCAGATATGGCCAAAGAAAGGCCAGGACTCTCCAAAGAGCCCAGAGTTGGGCTATGTAGTTCTGTTAGGGTTGACAAGAGAGTCCAGCCCATCATGTCATTAAGAATGGTCATTTCTCAAGAAATAAACCCCCATGTTCACTGCAGCATTATTTACAATAGCCAAGATAGGGAAGCAACCCAAGTGTCCATCGATGGATGAATGGATAAAAATATGGCGCATATGTATATAATGGACTATTACTCAGCCATAAAAAATAATGAAATCTTGCCATTTGTGACAATATAGGTGGACCGAGAGGGTATTATTCTAAGTGAAATAAGTCAGACAGAGAAAGGCAAATACCATAGGATTTCACTCATATGTGGAATCTAAACAACAAAACAAATGAGCAAGCACACAAATGTCAACAACAAAAACAGAAATTGCCTCGACTTCAGAGAACAAACTGGGGTTGCCAGAGGAGAGGGGGGAGTGAAGTAGGTGATGGGGATCAAGAGGTACAAACTTCCAGTTGTAAAATAAAGAAGTCATGGGGATGAAAAGTACAGCATAGGGAACACAGTCAATGATATTGTCATGACTTTGGGCGGTGACAGATGGCGACCCCACTTATCTTGGTGAGCAGTTTGTAATGTATGTAATTGTCGAGTCCTTATGCTGCACACCTAAAACTGATCTCTCAACTGTGCTTCAGTTTAAAAACATAAGTAGAGGAAGGCATTTAACTGATGGTGCACCCAGAGCATCATTGAGGGTCACCTCTTTTTTTTTTTTTTTTTTTTTTTTAATGTTTTATTTATTTATTCATGACAGTCAGAGAGAGAGAGAGAGGCAGAGGCAGATGGAGAAGCAGGCTCCCCGCCTAGCAGGGAGCCCGATGCGGGACTCGATCCCAGGACCCTGGGATCATGACCTGAGCCGAAGGCAGACGCTTAACCATCTGAGCCACCCAGGCGCCCCGAGGGTCACCTCTTTTAATCAATCAATCAATCAATCAATCTCTTGTCCATGACGGAAAAAAGAATGGTCATTTCTGAAATATGTTCTTTGTCTATTCGTCCTTCAGACATATTAGTTATATTTTGATTAGTTTTTAAATTTGTCTGTTTCTACTCCACTTGGACTCTCCTAAGTATAAGGATGGGTTCTTTCAGTTTGGGTCTAATTCTGGCAGCTTCACAGATGACACTGATTTGAATCCTGTGTCCAGCCCACTTAACACCCTTTATTTTCGACACATAGATGTGTTGGATAAAGTAGCTCATCTAAACTTTGAATTGAAGTATGGCAGACTTAGGAGTTGATGATGTAGGGGCCCGTGGAGCTGGTGCCCAAAGGACCAGGATTTAGCTGCCCACATGGGACAGGAGACGCGGCTTTGGGTCCCTGGGAACCTCTGAGAACCTGCATGAAGCCTTGATACTACAGAGCTGCCCTATGAGAAGCCATCAGGCCCCAGGGAAGCAGTGGGGAAACCTCACTTTGCCTATGGTTCTTGGGTGTGGGGAAAAAACGTCTCCCCACAGGCAAAGGAAGACCCAAGCCTGTATCATGTATGTGTGTCCTGGGCACATTCATATCCCAACTGACTACAGGACGCCCCAAGCTGAGACCCTAACCTCAACACTAGTCCTGAAGCAGTGAAAGCCTTGGGCTGGCCCCTGGAGATAAAGGAAATGCTCCTGCCCAGCAGCTTGGGGTTTTCGGGAATCCCCGAGAAAAACCGGCCCCAGAAAAAGGAGTTTGACACAAAGACCCCACAGGAAGTGGGGAAACATCCCTTATTAGTGAGCATCAGTGGGAATAACAGACAGGAGGATTAGCCCACAAAAACCCAAGATCACAGAACAATCTAAAAGACACTGTAGAATTACTGTTTTTGGTTATGCATTTTTAATTTCTTTTTAAATTTTAATTCCAGTTAACACAAAGTGTTGCGTTAGTTTCAGGTGTATGATAGAGTGATTCAACACTTCCATGCTTCACTGGGTGCTCCTCGCTCCTTCATCACTCCTTCATCCCCATCACTTATCTCCCCTATCTCCCACCCACTTCCCCGTTGGTGACCAGCAGTGTACTCTCTACAGTTAAGAGTCTGCTTCTTGGTTCATCTCTTTTTCTCCTTATTTGTTTATTTTGTTTCCTAAATTTCACAGATGAGTGAAATCATATGGTATTTTCGTTCTCGGACTGACTTATTTCACTTAGCATCATACTCTCTAGCTCCATTCGTGTTGTTGCAAATGGCAGGATTTCATTCTTCTTATAGCTGAGTAATATTCCATTGTGTATATATACACCACCTCTTCTTTATCCATCCATCAGTCCATGGACATCTGGGTGGCTTCCATAATTTGGCTGTTGTAGATAATGATGTGAATAAACATAGAGGTGCATGTATCCCTTTTGCATTCGTATCTTTGTATTTTTTAGAATTGCTATGTTTTTTTTATTTATTTATTTATTTTTATTCTTATGTTAATCCCCATACATTACATCATTAGTTTTAGATGAAGTGTTCCATGATTCATTGTTTGTGCATAACACCCAGTGCTCCATG